GGGCGGGGAGTGGTGATGATGAGCGACGGCTCTACTGACCAATGGGAAGGCGGCGTTAGGGAGCAAAGAGGCGGGAGGATGGAAAGACGGACGGGGATTGGACGGGAGGTTTCGATGGACGTTGAGACGGGCCAATGGGGAGCGTGGGAGCTGCGGGGAGGGCGGGCCCCGGGGAGCGGGACTTCCTGTGTTGTGGTGCTGTCGAGGGCAGAAAGTTTTCCAACGGCCGTCGCGGTCTCGCGCCGAACAAAGTGAGGCCTCACCTGAGGGGACAACCAGGTCAGCCCCACCCCCCCCACACACACACCCTCACACACACCCTCACACACACCCTCACACACAGCCCCACCCCCCACACACACACACCCTCACACACACCCTCACACACAGTCCCCCCCCACACACACACCCTCATACACACCCCCCCCACACACACACCCTCACACACACCCTCACACACAGCCCCACCCCCCACACACACACACCCTCACACACACCCTCACACACAGCCCCCCCCCCACACACACACCCTCCCACACAGCCCCACACACACACCCTCCACACAGCCCCCACACACACACCCTCCCACACAGCCCCACCCCCCCCACACACACCCTCACACACAGCCCCACCCCCCCACACACACACCCTCACACACACCCCCACACACACACACCCTCCCACACAGCCCCCCCCCACACACACACCCTCACACACACCCTCCCACACAGCCCCCCCCCACACACACACCCTCACACACCCCCACCCCCCCACACACACACCCCCACACACAGCCCCACACCCCCCCCCCCACACCCCCTCATAACAGCCCCCCCCACACATACCCTCACACCCCCACACACACTCTCATACACAGCCTCCCACACACACACACCCTCATACACACCCTCACACACAGCCCTTCACTCACCCCCCCCCACACACACACCCTCACGCTCGCCCCCCACACACACAGCCCCACACTCACCCACAAATACCCCCCCAACATGCTCACCCCACACACTCCAAACTACGCACAACCAAAATAACCCCCAACACACTCCCCCACCCCCCAAATACCCACCCCCACCATATGCACACACACACACACACACACATATACATCACCCTTCTCCCCCCCCCCCTCCCTTTCCTGTGCTTAACACCCCACTTACACCCTTCCCAACAACCCCCCCCACGCGCTGCCTCTCCCCACTGGCGTACAAATCTTCCCCGCGTGCGAGGCGCTATATAAATGCAAGTTGTTGTTGTCGTCGTCGTCTTCTGGTGCTGAACCTTACAATTTATTTCGCCCCCCCCACCCCCCGACCCACCCCCGACCTGACCCTCGAGGCCATTTCTCTCGACCGCTGTACGTATTTCTGCACCCGGTCAGAGGCAGGTTGACAAAGCTGTGGTTTACTCGCTGGCCTTGGGACGTCGTCCCGACGTGAAAGGCGCCGTACAAATGTGATCTTGTTGACGACGTTGTCGTTGTCGTCGTCGTCGTCGTTGTTGTTGTTGTTGGCGGCGGCGGCACTGTGACCGGTAAATAAGTGCGTCGACGTGCGGTGAAAGCTCGGTGCTGTGGAAATGGAGCCCCCTGTGCTCCAGCCCTGGTGCCTGCTGTATTTGTGTATAATTCTGGTGCGCAGATAGGGAATTTCGGCCATTCCGACGTGTTACTATATTCCAGTGTTAGTGGTGATTTTTTTTTTAACGTGAACCTTGTACTTTGACAGGGCAATAAACTCCCCCTCTCTCCCTCCCCCACTGGAAAGTGAATTGACTGTATATTTTGCATTCTTGTCTGTTCACGTGTGCGACAATCTTTTATTACCCCGAACGGGGGGAAAGAATCTCGCGTCGATAACACCGGCTTGGGGTTTGCAAGTTTACTAATTGTTTTGAGAGTTTGAGAAGCTCTTCTAAGCTCTTCAAGTCGGTGGAATGTGCAAAGAGGAAGTGTGCGAAGGGTGTGAGGTGGGGAGAGAGAGAGAGAGAGAGAGGGGGGGGGGGGGGAGAGAGAGAGAGAGAGAGAGGGGTGGGGGGGGAGAGAGAGAGAGAATGGGTTTAAATAAACTGAATGGTTTTTGCTTTGTGGCGAGATTTAACAATCGAGCAAACGAAAGTGAAAGAAACCGAAAAGGGGGGGGGGGGGGGAGCCAGAATCCAAACAAAACAAAACAAAACAAGAAGAGAAGTTATCGTTGGAAGCCTGTGGTTTTGAAAGCAAAAGATGCGGTGTTTACACGAGCGATCTGTGAGCCTGAGAATTTCTCTCTCCTCAGCGGGCGCTCGCTGGCCGAGATAGCAATCTGCGGGTAGACCCACAATCCTGAACAAATAACTTGCATGCTTTCGGGTGCTTATGTTCGTATTCCGCGGAAACGCTGCTTCTTAACCTCAGGAACCCGGTTGTTAGTGGATTGGCGGATCGCTTTTCCGGGGCTAACGATCCCCCTCCAAAGAAAATAATAAGAATGATTCGGTCACTCAATCCACGACTGTTTGTGGGACGCGGCACACACGCATGTTGTTGACGAGGGCTGGGCGTGCTCGGAGCACACAGCCCCCACCCCCCCCCCCTAACCCCACCACACTCTCATGTGAAGATTCCTCCGCTGTTGTAATCTGAAACCGGGGCTTCATGTCCTCTTGGTTTGGTGTGCGTCACCGAGAGTCTGTTTGTGTGTGTATTTTTGGCTCTGTGGCCCGGCTCCACGGAGCTCCCTGGAGCTCATCGCCCGGGTTCGAGGTGTGTGTTGGGTTTAAGCGCTCTGGGTCGCCACCCCGCGCGAGGGGCGCGGTGTAAGTGCACGTTGTTGTTGTTGTCCCAGCCGTGACGTGTGTGCGCGCGCGCGGGGGGGGCATTATATCTTGCCTTTGAACATGTGGTTTATGGGAGACCGAGAAGATAAGCCAAAGTACCTGATTAATCATAATCATCATAATAATCATAATATTATTGTTGGGTGAGGCTGTGTACGTGTCTCTTACGCATATATTGGCAAAGCACTGACCCCTTTTATAGGAGACGATGATAATACGGGTCATAAAATAATCCTGGCATTTGATGAGGTGCCTTTCGGGGGGTGGTGGGGGAGGAGGAAGGTTTCAAAATGTTTCACGGGATACACTGTAAAGTGTCGTGACGTGACTGTGTTTTGTTCGGCCAACACGTCGACAGCCTTCCGTTTCAATGTTTCTTTAGTGTTTCAGCGCTTTGGGACGTCCTCCCGACGTGGAAGGCGCTGTACAAGTGTCATTTTGTTGCTGTCGACTGCCCAACAAGGCGGCGCGGGGGGGAGGGGGGGGGGGGCGTAAGTTTGAGAACGATTTTCACGTCTCGGCAGCTTCCCCTCTTTGTCATTGGCTCAGCCGTATCCAAGACCATAAGAATTTGCTGGCGAGAGAAGAGCGAGGTCCTTCCAGTTCACCTTCCACCATCCTGGCAGTCGCTTGACATCTCATGTCCCAAACTATGTCCTGTATCCCCAGATAATCTCTGCCTTTCAGAGCCGTGGTGGGTGCCTGTTTTAGCCATAAATGAAAAGGAAAGTGCAGTGGCTTTGAGTGGGGGCGAGAGATTGTGCCCGGGTTGCAGTTTGTACTTGTGAGTTGTACCTTGAACTCGAGAACTTTTGTTTTTGTTCCCTTCGAAAAAAAAATTGTCCCTAATCTGCGTGCCGTACCGGGGTTGCGGAGCCAGGGAACGGCTGCGCTCCCGGCACGCTGTTCATTCCCACCCCCCCGTGACTTTCCTTCGCCCACAAAAACGCGCAGTCGCTTCACGTCACAGCGGGTCCTGTGAGGCGCTTTGGGAAAAGCATTCAGGAGTCAAATCAGGAGGCAGTTTTTTTTTTCACCCGAAGGCGGGTGGAAATCTGGAACTCTCTCCCTCCCCCACAAGACTATGGGTTATGGATGGATCCGTTCGCATTTTCAAGACTGTAGTGGAGAGATGTTTGTTAGGTCGGGGTATCGAGGGATATGGGGCAAAGGCAGATAACTGGACTTGAGATACAGATCAGCCATGATCTTATAGAATATCGGAACAGGCTCGAGGGGCTGAATGGCCTCCTCCTGTTCCTACATATGTGTTCCTATGAGAGGTGAAAGGCTCAGTGTCAAAAGCCAGTGCTGTGTTATTATTGAGGGTTATTGTTATTGGACAGTAATTGCTGTGAAGGACTTTGAGATTGCGAGACCGGATAAGGTGCTATGAAAACGAGAGCTCCTTATCTCTGCTGCTCTTGGCAAACGCGGCGGCTTTTATTGCTGTGCGTTTGCAGTGGGAATTTCTCAGTTTGGCTCTCCACATTATTGCCCTTTGGAGGTAATGGGAATGTTTTCTCCTCCCACTCTTTCCCCGGCCTCCGCTCACACACACACACACACACCCTCCGAAGCCCACACACCCTCACTCCATTTTCTGAATAAATTCAACAAGAAAATTCTACCATAATCTATCTTTTGTTTCACTCCAGGGGTCAAATTTTAGGGGAATTAATAAAATGAAACGACGGCAATCCAGGCCTTTGATATGGGGCCCTTTCACGTCGGGAGGATGTCTTGAATCTTTCACAGGGTTTTACCGTACAGTGCAGTTCAGTGACCCTGAGTGTTTTATAGTCGAACGCGGCAGCCAATTTGCTCACGACAATACCATTAAAGGGGCGGTTAGGGGAAAAAATCTTTACAGAGCAGGTGGCGAGTATGTGGAGTGTGGAGTGCGTCGGTATATTCTTTTAAAAGGGAATTGATTGGGATAGATGCCTGGTAGATGCATCCCTGGAGCCTCTGGTATTCCTTGTGTGTTACACAGTTCCAGTCGAAATGTGCCTCACAGAACCCGGCTGCCGTGTTTCGCCCACAAAATGCACAGTCACTACACCCGACAGCGTATCCTGTGAAGCGCTTTGAGACGTCTCATAGATGTGATAAGGCCCAATATCAAATGGAAGGATGATTATTATTATTATAATTAACCAATGGGCCTTTTGCTTTGTTGCGAGTCTGGGGGGTGTCCGTCGGGTCCACGAGTGATGGAAAGGCAATGGCGGGCAAAGAAAATTTTTGGAACTGGACAATGGCAAGAGATGTCAAGGATAAAAATAAAAAAAGTTTTTAAAATGACATTAAGAGGAAAAAAAGAAGGGGTGGAATAGGGCCATTGGTGGTGGAATTGGGGGAGAGGTTATGACAAACGATGCTACAGGAGCTGCAGAAGTACTAAATGATGATCAAATCAAATATTAAGTAAGTTCTTGGCCTCAGTTTTTAGTAAGGAGGAGATGGGAAGTTTATTGGATCTGGAAAGAGAACTTAGCGGTGTTGCAGAGGGAAGTTGTGGACTATACACATCACTACCAGCAGGCAAATAACCTTGCAAACTTAAGCTAAACAAATCCCAAGGGCCAGGATACAGGGTATAGTTTGGGACACGACATGTGAAGCGACTGATGGGAAGGTGGAAGGCAAACTGGATGGACCTTGGTCTTCTTTCTCCAAGCAAGTTCTTCTATACTTAAGGACGGCCGGGTGTGTGGTTGATGGCTCAATGCTTGTGTATTTTTTTTTCAGCGTTAATAGTCCCCGAAATGGATCATTTAACCTGTCCAATTTTGCGCTGCATGTATAAAAGGAGAGAGGCAGAGAGAGAGTAAAAGAAAGATTCTGCGCTCTTGTGAAAAATAATTACAGAACTTCCCCTCGGGTCCCCATTACTTGTCGGGAGGTAAGGACTTTGATGTGAGTTATTCAGCTGGGAGATTCCCTTCACAATCGCTGGCTGCTGCCACTTCAAGCATAACCTCGCAATCTCTCTTGCTGAAATCAATAACAGTCACCACCACCACCACCACCACAGCAAGTAGCTGCTGAAACGATGGCAATTCGGCTCCATTTAACTTATTTACTTGGAGCAATTCGATATTTTCCCCCAGACAAATTTTGGAAAGAGATCGTCTGATTTCCCGCCGCTCTCGCCCCGGCAGCTGTGGAATCTCTCGGCTGGACTCGAGACGCGTGAAAGGAATTGAAGACGTAATCAGAAAAGTTGAAGCTGCGACCCTCTCGGTGATTCTGAGGGGATTGATTGGCCTCAGAGTGGAGACCCGTAGCCTCGCGAGCGAGAGGACCTGGGTTCGATTCCCGGGCAGGGCAAAACCTTGGGCAAGTTTCCTTACTCCACATACGCACGCGCCTCTGTTTACCTCGCAGTAAGCAGGAACCCAGTTGTTCGTGGATTGACGGATCGCTTTTCCGGGGGGGCAGTGATCCCTTCAAAAATAAATAACTAAAATAATACTAACAATTTGCTGACTCAGTCAGTATTTTCTGCGAAGCGCTTTGAGACGTCTCGAAGACTTGATATAAGCGCTCTGAGACGCTACCCTGTGCGGAGGGCGCTATTTAAGTGCAAGTCGTCGTTGTGTCAAATGCAAGGATTATTGTTCCAGGGTTTCCCACGTGCCGATAACCTTTTCCTTCAATCTCTCTCTCCTCCCCAAACAGTAATTGTACAGACGTGTTTGCGGATCTTTGCACAGAACCCCTTCCCATGCAGGTTAATGACGGGTCAAGGCATCAGGAAGAGAATCACAAACCGTACATGGTAAGTGCGGCCCTGCTCGCCCGGTGCCCGAGGTTTGGGCTGTGTGCGGTAGAGCGCTCGTACGCACGCAGCCCTCCGGTAATTGTTGGCCCCTCGCTTCACGGCTGTTTGTGGGCTCGTCCCTGCGTGCAAATCGGCTGCCGCGTTCGTCTACAGACCACATAGTCACTACACTTTACAGTACAATCCTGTGAAGCACATTGAGAGGACTCCATGACGTGATAAGGCGCTGTATAAAATGCTAGGATTATTATTATTACTGTTCAATCTTCTGGCCCGAGCCAAAGCTTGTGGGGACCCCTAGATTATGCAGTGGGGTAACTGCTGGAGTTTAAGCAGTTCAAACCCCCCCCCACATGGTTTGAGCCTTATCCGGTAAGCTTTCCCGCTGCTTGTCCGGCTGGGATCACCCGACCCATTTGTGCATTGGCTTGCAGGGTTAACCGGAGCTGAGTGGGAATAATCCCTGCCCCCAGTTTAATTAAATTCATACTGCGTGGGGAGAGGAAGCATACTGGGTAGTGGTTAAAACATGCAGGGTTTCGAGTCCTGTCGTCTGTAAAATCTAACGCTTGGTATGAGAGTGCGTTGTGTGTGTGTGTGTGTGTGTGTGTGTATACGTTGATGGCCTTTAAAATTACACTGTACCTCTCCAGTGCAGTGTTCATGTTGTTTACACTTGTGTGAAGTTCGCTGTGTGTGATGGGAGTTGTAGGTCTATTCCTGGTGCTTCTATTGACCCGACTGCAGCCCCCAGCATTCTCCGGGTCCCTTGAGAGTGACTCAGAGCAGTGTGTGCCCACTGGGTGGGTCTGACTTCCTGCTCTTCCTGTCTGCAAGGCAATAGGCTACAGCTGCCAGGCCCCAGCTGGGAGACCAGTGCACTCACACACACTCGCTCACTCACTCACTCACACACGCTCACACTCTCTGAACTGGCTGCTCAGCCATCAGTGGGCAAGCAGCTTGCGCAGAAGGCTTGTCACTCCAGTGGTTTGGGCTGCGTGTGTGTGTGTGTGTGTGTGTGTTACAGCGCTCGCACACAGCCGTCCCAACGGTTTCACAGCAAGAAACGGCACACAAAATAAATCTGCTTCCTCCCCACCACCACCACCACCACCACCACACGGACACTCACACACGCACACACGCACACACGCACACGCTCATCGTCTGTCCTTTCACTCAGGGACTTTCTTAATGTCAAACCACATTCATAACAGACTGTTTCTTCTGATGTTGCTTCTCTTCTCGTCGCTGCTGCTGCTGTTTCTAACCCCCCCCCCCCCCCACCCCTTTTGTGGTGTTTTGCACGTTTCCCTGGTGTTTCACCTCCCCATGTCAGCAACCCAACCCCCCCCACCCACCCTCACCACATACACACAGCCTGTCACTGTCTCCCAGAGGTGAGGGGCGGGGGGGAGGGAGCATATAAATTAGTGTTGATGTCTTGGTTTTACAAACAGACTGAAAATCCTTTCAACCCCCCCCCCCCACCCATCCCCACCTCCGCAGGTGGGTCATACAATACAATATGGATTTCATGTCAGGAAGGTGAGCACAGACAAAGCAGGTTAAGTTTACATCTGGAACCCGGGGTGTCTGACACACAGGGAAACAGATTCCCAAACCAGACTGAGTTCCACAAGCCACCTACACATGGAAATTTCCCTGTGTCTGTAATACAACACAATGCACACTCTTGTCAGCAGTAAAAAGGCAAACGGGAGAGGTTTATTAGAAGTCACACACTCTACCGGGAAGCAGTGATTGAAGCAGAATCATATCAATCGATTTTTAAAAGGAATTTATTTGAAAAGTGTAAAAGCGTAAGGGAAAACGCGAGCGAGCAGGGAGTGGACTGACTGGAGATTGGAGCACTCGTGTGTGAAGGGCGCTCGGTAAATGCAAGTTGTTGTTAGGTCTCTTTCAGAGACTCCGCACGGGAGCGTATGGGGCCAATAGCTTCCTCTGTGCTGCAAAATTCTGAGTTGAACACTACCAGTCAATAAAACAAATGCCGTTTGCCTTTGTGTGCACGCTCGCACACGCGCTCGCACACGCACTGAAGCTGTAGCTCGTCATGAGCTCAATGCAGGGATATATCCAATGCGAGGATTATTATTATTATAAAGTTGACTCCCTCCATTTTACATCTAGATGTGAGACGTCTCGAGGACCTGATAAGGTGCTGTATCAAACGCAAGGATTATTATTATTACTATTATCGCCGCTTCACGACTGACCTCGTGTTTGCCCACTCCCCGTCCGTTCACAGATTTAATTGCCGGTAACCAAAGCGCCCTGGCAGCAATTAAACCATCCGATGTTCAAAGCTGTGTGTGTGTGTGCGTAGAACGAGGGATGTTTTTCTTGTTGGCAGGAGATGGAAAAGATGACAGAGGAGGGGAGCGTTCAGTCCAGGGAGCAGGATATCAAAGCCCAGTTGCAGGTAGGTCAAACAGCCTTGCTATCTTCCCGCCATCGATCGACAGAGCGAGCAATAGATCTGTCTGTGACATTCACAGCCACAGGAATTTCTCCAACAACAACAAACAACAACAAACACTGCTGTGCGCAATTACCTGCTGCATTTCGCCCACAAAACACATAGTCACTGCACTTTACAGTGTATTCTGTGAAGCGCTTTGAGACATCTCGACGACCTGATAAGGCGCTGCTGTATCAAACACAAGGATCATTATTATCATTATCCTGGCATGAAAAGGGAGGACGTGTTTGTTCATAGATGTTTTCTCTCAAACACTTCCCCCTCGGCTTGTGGGGGAAGAATCTGTCACAAGGGTGGAGGGTGTACAAAGGACAGAAGCCCAGCAACACTCTGTGCTTTCACAGAGAGAGAGAGAGAGAAAGAGCCAAGTAACTTGACCTAGAAAGAAAAGTTTCATCAATGGCATCCAGAGTATTTGTAATTCTGGAAACGTTAGCCTGGCTTGAGCCAGGAGGGTGTGGGTTCAAGCCCCCCACGTTGGGTCTTTGAGGCTCACAGTCTAGGCTGATGCTCCAAAGCAATGCAGGGGGAGCCCTGTATTGTCAGAAGTGCCGTACTTCGGATGAGATGTTAAACTCTGTGCCTGATCAGATGGACGTTAAAAGATCCCGCAGCACTATTGGAAAAGAGAAGAGAGCTTGTTTCCTGGCTGACAATCCCCCGGAGATATGTGTGTTTGTGTGCGTGTGTGTGTATATATAATATTTATATAATAAATGAGGTCGTCCCCTTGATGGCTGTTTGTGGGACATGTTCATTACGAGTGCACAGTCACACCACTTCACAGCAAACGATGTTTCAGTGTGATAAGGCTGCATCAAATACTTAAATGTAGGATCTGTCTGTAAGAGTAATAATAATCCTTGTATTTGATATAGCACTTCATCACGTCTTTGAGACGTCTCAAAGCGCTTCACAGGATGTACTGTAAAGTGAATTGACTGTATATATTGTGGGCAAGTAACTAAATGCAGGGGCCCCTGTTTTTCAAATCCAGCGTCTTTGCACTGAGATTGGTAGTGAATTTAGCCTTAGCAGCCAACAGTTTTCACCTCTTCCTGTGTCCGTGGCTTGTGTACTCTCGTGAAAAACATCCCGAGCTTGCCCACACAGCCGCCCAACTTGCTGTGTCCGGATTTCGTACCCTCTCCGTTTGGCTTCAGACAGAAAAGTAATAGTTTTAGGGATTATTAATTGACTAAAGTGGGATTGATTTGTCGGTCCTGACCTCCAATGCTGCCTTTCTAATTGATTGGCTTGCTGCGTCTTCTATCCACCATCTGATATATGTGTGTGTGTATGTGAGGAGCAATTTGCCTCGCTCCCTCCCTTGCCTCCTTCAAGGTCCTCCTCTTCAACCGGGTCTTCTGCCACCGTCTTCTCCTACCCCCTGCCTTTCCTCCACCCCTCCCCGGTCCCAACCCCCAGTTCGGGTCCAAATCCCTGATTGTCCAGCGCCTTGGGACGTCCTCCCGACGAGAAAGGCGCTGCGTGAATGACATTTGTGGTGGTGGTGGTGGTTGTTGTCAGGGTGAAGTGGGAAGGGGAAGCCAAGAGCAGCCACGCACTCGCTGTGTTGGTGCTTTGGCATGAGTGTGTGTGAGTGGTGGAGAGAGGAGGCTGATGTCTTTGTTAAACGCTGATTAAATTCACCTTGTCTGTGCCAGGCAGGTTCCTGGGACCCCATCCCCGACACTCGACTCCCCCCCCCCCCCCCCCCCCCCCCCCCCCCCATGTAAGCTGGTTGCTAAGACCTTGCTGTTTCCCTTCCAGATTGGAAGTGAAGAACTTTCGCAGGATTCATATGGCAGCATATCCGAGGCTCCTAGTGAAGAGAACTGTGGGTGAGTACAGCAGAATGCCCCGTAAACGCACAGGCGACCCACTATCCGCACGCCCTCTTATCTGCACGGCCTCCAAGATGGAAGCGAGCTTGGCCTGCGACGTCGGTGGCCATGTTTAGACGGGCCAAGAGATTACCAGCCTCGCAGTTTCTCCCGAGCAGCGTGGCCGTGGGTGAACAACAATAAAATGACATTTACACAGCGCCTTTCACGTCGGGAGGACGTCCCAAGGCGCTGGACAGTCAGGGATTTGGACCCGAGGCACGTGAGTAAGCTAGTAAGCTCAGTGTGTTTGTTCAGCAGTTTGTTTCAGGCACAGTGTAGGATTAGACCCTGGAGAGAGAGAGAGAGAGATAGATAAGAGAGTGTTACCAATGGAGTCAGTAGTGGAGCTGATCTCTCTGCTTCGAGCGTCACATCGCAATTGCAACACTCTTTACACCATTCATTCATCAATGTTCTGGTTGGAGCCACTTGAGCCAGCCCTTGGTGAAGCAGTATACCCTCCAGCCATTAGCACAGTTTAGCCTTCCCGACAGGCCCTCCTTCCTTCATCAACCCCATGCCCCTCAAAGCAGAGCGGTATCAATGGGGCAAAGTCGGGTAATTTGAATTAGTGTCTAATAACCGGTTCGAGGGGGCTGAATGGCCCACTCCTGTTCCTACGACCTGCTGCTTTGTCTTAACTGCTGAAGCTTCCTCAGCTTGAGATGGTACAGTGTCGGCCCAGGACCCAAGTTTCCGCTCAATCAGTCAGTCAAACCCTTCACAGCTTGATTCGCTGAGGGCCTGTTTGCACAGCGCCCGACTCTGAGAGACTATAGCTTCGCTCTTTCTGATCGACCTCATTTGAAGGCGGCTGGTAAAGTCCAAGGCACTGGTGAAAGCCTTTGGTGTTCACCCAATAAAGACACCCAGAACAGACACACACACACACACACACACGCACCCCGACTGTGTTGCAGAGTTGCCTGGGACATTCCCAGCTCAGGGCGGAAACTAAACAACTCGGTGACTTTGGGCTTCGGGTCGTGTAAATTTGTCCACTATCCGGGCCCGTGGAGCGAATAATAAAACCCAGTGTACTTTCATCAACGGGCTGCCGGGCTCTGCTCTCTGAAATGCGCAACACTGCTGGGATTGTGTGCTTGCCAACTCCTGTTTAATAGAGGTGTGGGGGAGGGTTGGGGTGGTGGGGGGGGGGGGTGAGAGAGAGAGAGAGAACTGGAGAGACTTTCTGCGTATTGTTGCCAAGAAAAGCAGCACGGTATTAAAGCTTTAACCCGGTGAGCACTGAATGGACAGTCTGGCTTTCGACATTTCCTTTGCTCCAAGTCGTCAAACTGTTTTTTTTCCTTTCTGTCAATTTTTTTCCCCCCTTGTGGAGTACAAGCATGGCAGATTTCTTCATTAGGCCTCTTTGATTCAATCGGTTACTGGTATTTTGTTTCTCCCCCCCCCAGTCCCTTTCCTTCCTATTCCCTCTCTACCCCCCACTTCCAAGGCCTTAAGCAGGTGTTTGACGGTTTCCGACTTGCACTGAAACAACAACACATGACATTTACACGGCTCCTTTCCCGTCGGGAGGACGTCCCAAGGTGCAGGACAGTCAGGGATTTGGACCGGAGCTGGGGGTTGGGATCAGGAGGGGTGGGGGAGGGCAGGGAGGGAGGGAGGGTAGGGGTAGGAAGGCCTAAACAAGTAGAGAAGTCTCAAAAAGAAGTTTCAGGTGCGATTATTGTCAGGTGTAGTGACTGCTTTTGTGGCACGAGTCTCTTACGATGCAGAGATGTCACCGCAATCACAAACACTGCCACGAGATGAGCTGATTCATGGTCCTGCTGCCAATATAATAATTACATTTGATACAGCGCCTCATCACGTCGTCGAGACGTCTCAAAGCGCTTCATAGGATTTACTGTAAAGTGAATTGACTGTATATTTTGGGGGTGTATTTTGTGCGGCAGCCAATTGCGCACAGCAGCGTCCTCACAAACAGTTGAATGAACAAATTATTATTATTTTGGAGGGTGGTGGGGGGGGGTATTAAAACCCCCAGAAAAGCGATCCGCCAATCGACTAAGAAGGGAGAGGAGGAAGCACTTTTGAAGTGTGGAGTGGAGAGAATGGGGCACTTTCAGCCCGGAAAATAATTGTTAAAGGAATCGGTTTCCTCTCGTGAATCCAGTGGCCGGGTTGCACGAGTGATCCACGTTCTGGGCCCCTTTTGGCCCTGTTGACGGAAGCTTGGAGATGACCGGGAGCTGCCCAAACCTGGGAAAGTGCTGCTCCGACACTCTCCTCTGTACTGTGGTCCTGTGGTCAAGTCAATTGCTTTGTGGAGAGGGCTTTGAGGCATTGAAAAGGTGTGAAGTGTTGTTGTGTGTTGACGAATCCTGTTCTGCTGAATGTGCTCTCACTGACATTAGTCAGAGTCGGGTATTTATTTTTCTCTCTTAAAATAAATATTTCCTTTCTTGACCTCTCTCATTCCCTCCTCCTTTCCCTCGATCATTCCGTGAATGAATTGCTGGCTGGCTGGGGGAGGGAGGGAGAGAGGGAGGGAGGCAAGGAGTTTAAACGGAGCAGGAATCCCCTGGATGGTTGGTGAAGAGGAACACAATCGAATCGCTGAGGTGGGTGATTCACAACTTAGAATGCAGTCACACAATGGAGAGGGGGGAGAGAGAGAGAGAGAGAGAAGAGGAGAGAGAGGAATAAAGTTGAATGCGGAGTGTAAGCGGGGGTGGGGGTGGTGGTGGGGGGGTGTGGGGGTGAAGTGGGTGTTGCTGCAATTTAGACAAACCACAAAACCCCACAATGGTTCGTCTACAGTAACTAGTATTGTCCTTCGCGTAAAGTGAACTCCTCAAAGCCCTTTACAGAGCAAAATTGGTTAGAGAGTGAAGTGAGTGGTGGTTGTTTAAGGCAAAGGCACTCGCTGGCCTGGAGCAGAGGTGTGAGAGATGAGGGCAGTTGCTGACAGACTGCCGTATTGCAACATTGCCTTGCGGCTATTTTGCCGGAAAAACGTGCCTTTTTCTCTCTCCTGGTTTGCTTGCCCTGTTTTCTGTGTTTTATTATTAATAATAATAATCCTGGCATTTGATACAGCGCGTTGATATAGCACGTTGTTGAGACGCCTCAAAGCGCTTCACAGAATACACCGCAAAGTGAATCGACTGCGTATTCCGTGGGCGAAACGGGCAAAATATATAGTTATTGGACATTGACGCCGTTTCCAGTCGGTTTTACTCAGTTTTACTGCATTTTAAAATGAAAGGCACGAGGTATATGAAAAAATCCTGGCGTTTAGGTCAGGAGGGCGGCTCAGATTTACGGTAAACTGGAGTCTATGTAAACTCACGATTATTGCAAGTCACAATCATATTCATATCATATTCTTTTGCGCTTAACAGCGCCGGTAACATCGGAACATCTCGAAGCGCGCAAGATGTTTTGATGTGACACGCGCAATTCTGAGCAGGGTGTACGTCTGAGCAGCCATTTTGTGCACATTGAGGTCCCGCAAACAACTGTAATAATAAATCCTGACATTTAATACATCGACAGGACGCCCCAAAGCGCTTCACAGGATATACTGTGATAAAGTGCAGTGACTGTATTTTTGTGGGCGAACCATGACGTGAATGATGTGTGTGTTTATAGTGTGCGTGTGTGTATATGTATATGGTGTGTATATGCTTTGATTGACAGGTGTATATTATGGTGCGTATGGTTTATATATAATGTGTATATATCTATTACAAGGTGCCTGTCGCTGTGATTGACAGGATGATGGGGTACTGTGTATGTATGCTATGTATGATGCTGTACGTATGATGCTGTGTGTATGGTACTGTGTACATGCTGTGTGTGTGTATAGTGTTGTGTGTATGATACTGTGTACATGGTGCTGTGTGTGTGCTGTGTACATGGAGCTGTGTGTGTGCTGTGTACATGGTGCTGTGTGTGTGTACATGGTGCTGTGCAGTGTGTGTGTGTATACAGTGTACATGGTGCTGTGCAGTGGGGGTGTGTGTGTACTGTGTACATGGTGCTGTGTGTTTGTGTGTGTACTGTGTACACGGTGCTGTGCAGTGGGGGGGTGTACACGGTGCTGTGTACACGGTGCTGTGCAGTGGGGGGTGTACACGGTGCTGTGTACACGGTGCTGTGCAGTGGGGGGGTGTACACGGTGCTGTGTACACGGTGCTGTGCAGTGGGGGGGTGTACACGGTGCTGTGCAGTGGGGGGGTGTACACGGTGCTGTGTACACGGTGCTGTGCAGTGGGGGGGTGTACACGGTGCTGTGTACACGGTGCTGTGCAGTGGGTGGGTGTACACGGTGCTGTGTACACGGTGCTGTGCAGTGGGGGGGTGTACACGGTGCTGTGCAGTGGGGGGGTGTACACGGTGCTGTGTACACGGTGCTGTGCAGTGGGGGGTGTACACGGTGCTGTGCAGTGGGGGGGTGTACACGGTGCTGTGCAGTGGGGGGGTGTACACGGTGCTGTGTACACGGTGCTGTGCAGTGGGGGGGTGTACACGGTGCTGTGTACACGGTGCTGTGCAGTGGGGGTGTGTACACGGTGCTGTGTACACGGTGCTGTGCAGTGGGGGGTGCGCGGTGGCTGTGATTGACAGGACAATGGGGGTCAGGTGACCGGGAGGCGGGGTATAAAGACGGCCGCGAGGCGGCGGTGGGGAAGTTTCTGCCAAAATGGCCGCCGCCGCCGTCGGCCTCTGAGCGCCTCTCCCGCCCTCTCTACCTCCTCAGTCAGTCCGTCCGTCAGTCAGTCCTCTCCTCTCCTCCTCGCCCAGACCGCCCGCCCGTCCTCACTCGCTCGCTCGCTCACTGCTGATCTTCACGCACGGCAGCTCGGACGGCAAGAAGAGAGAGAGAGAAGGAGAGAGAGAGAGAAGGAGAAAGAGAGGGATAGAGAGAAGGAGAGAGAGAGGGGGAACAGGGCCTCTGTCTGTGTCTGTGTTTTTAGTGT